GATGAGCATGCACTGTAAGGGTGTGCTCAGGAAAACCTGGTGGTTTCCAGAAGTCCTGGACACACAGGGAACCCTGTACCGTGGTGCTTCAGATTTTCCAAAGATTTAAGTCAACCCTTGGTGAAAGCACTGAGCCTTCTTTGTACATGCACTTGTAGGGTATAGCACATATGCAGTTGCATCCCACTGCTTAGTGAAACTAGGAGTATGAAAGTCTTGAATAAATACGTAAATGAAGTCTTTATAAGCCATATAGACATCCCTATCTATACGGGAGTATGACAGCTTTAGGCTAAATGCTCTTCTCCTTACCACTTGGTCCATCCCTCTCCATGGTAAATCTGCAGTTTGTAATTTCCTTCAAACTAAGAACCCAGCCACATTCCAAAATACAAGAAGCCCCCTTGTGATAGGAAGACCTATCTTCATGCAGCTCTATTCACCTTTTGCTGTCAGGTGTAGCCCAGACCATGAAGGAATACTAGGATAGAGGATGCCACTACCTGAGTGAAGCTGAGGTAGCAGGGCAGAAAGCGTCGGAAGCTTGGTTTGCTGCTTCCCAGAGATAGCAAAAGGATTTATTCACCCACACAGGAAGGCTAACAACTCACACGAAGGAGACTCAACTTCTGAATCACAAGCGGATGGTAATGTGTAAGTTATCGCATTAAGAAATTCATATAAATGACACAATTGGAGCTGCACAAATGTTTACATTTATGGATAAAGACCTTCTCACTTCAAGGCATAAACCTCCCACAAATGACAAGAGTTGAAAAGACTGTGGGGAGCAGGCTGTTCCATAATTGTCTCTTTTTCTCAAGTGTCTCCCATTCCTGCCACTGCTGGGGTGAACACTTAGATGCATAACCAAGACAACCATGGCTGTCCCATCTTGGCAATTCTTGCACACCAAAGAATAACTAGAGCACAGCTGCATGTAGCCATTCATCTTCCCAAAAAATATGCCTTTACATCTATCTGAGACAAAGCTATTTTTATTCGAATCATTCTTGATTCGTACTGTCTCTAAAGCAGGCCCCAATCACAACTGCTAATTCAATGCAAACAAATTTTATCTCAGAGCATATCCTTTTACATCTCTGAAGCTGCTTTCTCTGCTGTCCCTGAGTCTGAGAGGCAGAAAAGCCTCCAGCAGAGAAAAGGGCCACCTTTATCACGCATTATCCCTTGTTGCTGGGGATGAAATACACAAATTTGGATGAAATACCTTGGCACCTGAGGCACTTGGGATCACCTCAGATGTTATTTATAGTGATGTAGAAAATCTGTCCTATTGTACGGGGTGGCAAAACTGAGGAAACTCTGGATTCCTAGATTTAACATCTATGTTAGCAGACAGAGTGGTGCAGTAGGAGCAGCCCTGTATAGCGAAACAGCTGATGCTGAGGACTCAGTGACCACACTGAGGATGCTTTGGTGACCTCAGACAATTTGTAGCCCAAAACAAAGAGGAATTCCCATTAATCTGTGGAGCACATTAAATGCATATCTTGCCGGTTTCTTTCACCTGAATTGCTTGTGTGGTTCTGATTCAAACTAAAGTGCTAGCGCTATTGCAGCTGCACAGGAAGTGCCCAGAAACATGGACTCCCATGCCACCCCACTTCTGTCAGGGGGAAGTGGAGTAAAGATCTCAGGAGAGGTCAGGTCCTGAATGAAAGAAGGGTGAGACAGGTGCTGGTGCCTGCACCTTTTTAACAAGATAGTGACTGTGGAAGTGGAGATGTTTACTGTCTTGTGAAGACTTTCTAGCCTGGATTGTCCTCACTGATGTCCCACAACTGGAGGGGGTGGTTTACTTTCCTGACACAACTGATTTTCATTTGAGCCACAGGCGCACTCTCCCTGCTCCCTTCCCTTCTCCTTCCTTTGGTTGTGGCACCATGCTGCTAGCCACAGAAGGAGACATCACAACAGCTGGGCCAACCAAGTCAGCTCTGGAGGCACGAGCCCAGCCAGAGCAGTAGGTGCCTGTGGTGAGGCCCATACTCTCCAGGCTTACCCTCTGGGCCCCTCTGCTGGTGCTAGCCCCTCTGCTTCCCCCCTAGCCAGCATCCATTCTCCCAACTTCCTCATACCCTCATAACCCTCCTGCTTTGGGAATGGTGGCTGGGCATGTTCTGCCTGCTCAGACCCAACTTTTCATCCTTTTGGGTCTCCAAACTTGTTGCGTGATACAGGGAGAAAGGAGAAATACAGTCTGTATGTGGAAAAGCCCACAGGCACTGCTGGCGGCTGGGCTCCAGCTGCCCGCGGCGCCTACCTGCGGCCCCGAGCAGGTCAGAGCAAGGCACGTAAAGCACACGCAGACACACAGATACACACAGACACACGCAGACACGCGCAGACACGCGTAGACACACAGACACGCAGACAGACACCCACGCTCCCGTCTCCCCCACACGCGCCCGCCTCCCCCCGCCCCGGCCTCGCCGCC